ATAATATAAAGATTATAAAATTGGTTCTAAAAATAAAAAAAACAGCAGAGCCCACATCACAACTATAACAATAACGGTACACTGGCACAGAGAAATCTTATCGTTAAAGGCCCGTTCACACCAACAACGATATAACTATAACTATATTAGGGGCCACACCAGCGGAAGATATTGTTCTATTTATTCTAAGCATGCTTGTCTGTCGCTTTAAATCCTCAAGCTCATTATAGTAGGATGGATTCTGATTAGCTGTCATTGTTTTAATCATTCATTACCTGGATAAAGTGACTCCAACTTTATCGTTTCTCTGTGCCGTTATCGTTATAGAGGTCGTGTGAACTCTGCTATTCTTTAGTATTGAGAACGATTTTTAGAACTATATCTTTATCATTATCTTTATAGTTGCTTTATCATCTTTCCAGCTGATGAACAATAAAAACACTGACAGCCAATCAGAATCCATCCTGCTTTAAAGAGCTCGAGCATTTAAAGTGGCAGACGACAAACCAGCAGCAGATTTATAATAAACAGATCGTTATTGTTCGCTGGTGTGGATGCTAATATAGTTATCGATATGGTTATCTTTATTTTATAATTATCGTTCTTGGTGTGAACGGGCCTTAAAACATAAAAAATGCAAACGAGTTACAATAAGCTACAATAAAAGACAGTAAGTCACTATAAATACAACTGCAACTTTCAAATGACATACACATAACCTGATGTTCTTAAAAGATAAACTGCAACCAATTATCACAACAGTCTACTTGTCCATGAACGCCATAGCTCAGAGCTAAGCCAGATATTTGTGTTAATAAACATCCGACACAGTCTCTGCATGGATCCTGTCTAAGCAATGAGCTGTCAGGAAATACATTTTTGTTGCTTGTCTTTTGTTTCTTGTCATGATTGTGGCAGCTTGTGTATCGGGCATACTCACACTACACGTTTCAGATGCTGTGAGTTGATTGGCTGAGGTGTTGCTGTTGTTGACACATGACGCGTTGATTAAAACATTACATCAAACAGATCCTCTAACCGTGCGTTTTACTGTATCTTTATCCAGGCAATGCTGCAGTTATGATTAACCAGCAGTAAAGTGTAATAATATGTATTAGCCTCTGTGTCTTATGAAGGAGAGTCGTAAAAATATCTGTGATTTTGCATGGCTGTTGACAATCCTGAATAAACTTTATGAGGTAGCAGAAATAAATGGTACACTTTATAATATGGTTTATGTAAAAGAGGAGTATTACGACTTTATGAATACTGTATGTTTTGACATTACTTACAGCTTCTGGCAGCTCCTTTTTTTTCAAAGAAAGAGTGCGTCATGGTATTATTATTGTGATGGCTGTGTCTGCCTGCACAGAACTGTTTTGTAAGGTAACCTAAAAATGCATTTAAATTGGTTTAATTCAAGTCAAAATATATTCTACATGACTTAATCAACCTGAATGCATACTGTAGGTTATACCAACGAACATATTTTGTCATGTCAAATAAAAAAAATAGTTGATTCCTTAGCACATGTATAATGCATATAGCAAAGTCCAAGCAATTGAGCTTGCTTAAAGAGGCCATATTATGACCTTTTACAAAGTCTTGATTTTGTTTTTTGTTTTTCATGCTTGAATGTTAAAAAAAAAACACATTATTTTTCACATATTTTACATTGTTGCACCTCTCTTCCCAGTTTGTCAGTAACACAGTGTTTAGTTTGTCTCTATGAAGCCCCTCCTTCCGAAAAGCACAATGTGCTCTGATTGGTCGGCTGAGCCAGTGTGTTGTGATTGGTCAACCACTTTAAGCATGTTTCGGAAATGTCACGCCCCTTACCATAAATGCCAGTTTCAGCACACTACTAACGCAACTTTTCCAGTGTATGCCTTGTGTTGGAATTCTTTAAATGGGGGATTTTGTGTATGTACATTCCCAGAAGAAACCTCAAGACTACAATCGAGGCATTTAGGGAGGTCAGAAACAGTGCTTACTGGTATATAGAGAATAACTCCCTTTTTCATCCTTTAAACAGCAACAATACACAAGTTGAAAATGTTAAAAAGCATAATAGGTCCTCTTTAAGAACAAATAGTTCCCTCTTGTTCTGTTAGTGTGAGGCTGGTTTTTGAGGACAGCTAGTCCTCTAGATGTTACTAATTTAGGGTAGTCCTGTTATGTTTTAATGTCTTCATGTGTCTGCGGCTGTTAAAACAGGTCTGTGCCATCTGGCCTGATGTTTACTTGTCCTAAGACTTCACCACAAGGACATTCAGCCATCACTGAACAACTCTTTTTTTCTGTCTTTTTTTCTCAATCTTTCTGTGCTCTACTTTTTACATTGCTCATGATAAACAACATGCAGTATATACAATTAAGCCACCCATCTTTAATTAATAACAGTAATATTTTGTTGTGTAATAACACCTCTTGGACCACAATGATATCTTTAACACCGTTCATTATCATGTGTATAGTTTGGAGCTGTGAGGTGTTTGGGTCTTCATGTAGTGCCTCTGAAGACAATCAACAATCAATTTCCTTCAGCCTTGAATCCAATTTCTCAACTAATCTAGTCCAGCCTTCTTCCTCGCTAACAAATGCCAAAGATCACCGGTGTCATAATGCAATCAGAAATCTCAAACCTCATTATCCAGCTACTCCGGCTACTCTATGAGTGATGTAACTGCAGTGTCATTATAATGCACATCATTCTGCAAGAGAAGTCAGCATGGGGTGTTAACTGACAAAATCATTACACAAAAAATTACATTCTCACCACTGAAAGTTCAGCTGACAAGCCTTTGAATTTTAAGATTCGAGATGCTGTCAAATAGTGTTAGTAGAGAAAATAACATATTTACAGCCAACCATTTTCTATGTCTAAATAATTTCAAAAAATGACTTCAAAGTCAATCCTTGTTGCTTTCTGATGTATTAGCTTTTCAAAGAAAAATATATTCTCTAATATTTAAGTGGGTTAAAGATATGATCCTCTCATTAAAAAAAAACTTTTCTGGGTAGAAAAGATGATTAGACAGGATAATTATAGACAACATGATTGAGAAATGGCATGCAAAGCACGTGTAAACAGTATAATACAGACAATTTTTTTGCATATTATTGTAAATATTGTGATTTGTTTTATGAAACTTAAACATTTAAATAAAATCTTAGTTTGTTTGTAAAAGGTGTGTGTGTGCGTGTGTGAATGTACTTTTATTTATTTATTTAAATGTAACTATTTGAATTTAATCATTTAAAAATATTGCATTTTTTTTCTGCTTTGTATTCCCCCAAAATGAGAATGATAGAACAAGACTGTTTTAGCTGGTGAGCTACCAAGCATGAATTTTATGACCAAATAGGCATTAGCACCACTGCAGTACTGTCCCTACCCCCTGATGGGAGGAAGAGAGAGAGAAAATTCAGGGCAGCATTGGACTTTGAAGGAAGCGAGGAGAGAGAGAGAGAGAGAGAGAGAGAGAGAGAGAGAGAGAGAGAGAGAGAGAGAGGAGAGAGAGAGAGTGAGAGAGAGAGAGAGAGAGAGAGAGAGAGAGAGAGAGAGAGAGAGAGAGAGGAGAGAGAGAGAGAGAGAGAGAGATGAGAGAGAGAGAGAGAGAGAGAGAGAGAGAGAGAGAGTGAGAGATGAGAGACCCTTGAAAAGAAGCAAAAGCTACAATGCAGCAGTCTGCAGCCCAGTTCCACTCATGTCCTACACTAAACAGATCAGTCCGTCATCGACAGAGGGCCCAGAATGAGTGTGCATTCACAATGCATGCAATCACAGACTGTTTCAGAACCACGGAGAGCTCCACCGATACTAGCAGCTCAATCAGAATCAATTTCAGCACCACGGACAGCGTCTCTGCAAGAACCACTGCAATCCGATCATGACACTTTACTACGGTCATTTAAATAAGGGAGCTGTTCACTTAATTGCCTCAACAGATGCAATTTGTAACATTTGAGTGCATAACACATGCACAAAACGTTTCGTCACTCATAATGAGTGCAGCTTCTGATGTACTGCAGGGGGTTGATAAGAACGCATGCGAGAGGAGGTCAGGTACAAGCTAATTTAATTCCTCTCTCACAGGCTGCAGCTCTACCTGTAGGTACGAAGCTCTTTTAAAAACTGAGATCTTGCATCTCAGACCCTCTTTCACTTTTTAAAAGGTTAGCGACATGAAATGCACCGAAGGTCTGCTTTTGTTAAGACGCTACAATTATTCCAATTATTCTCGAGGATCTAAGACACAGGGATCCAAATTCACTGCCTGTTGAAATTAAATTAGATTAAGCAACAGACAGACAGACAGACACTGCAAAAAAAAAAAAAAAAACTGGAACGGAATTGTGGTAAAAATGTAAAAATGGTACTGTTAAATTTCTGCCAGGACCATTTGTTAAAATGCAATGCAACTTTCAAAATAGACACCTGTTAAAAAAAATCTTCGTATTAACAGTACATTAGGCCTATTTCTATAGACTTTTTTTAAGAGTGCAAGGAAGTGACAACGCTGGACCACACACACACACACAAAACACATACACACACAAACACTGCTGTCAGTACTTCCTCAGACAGACACAGAAAGCATTATCATTCTCCTCACAGCAACCTTGCAGCACGAGCCTTTGCCAAAGCTGCATACACACACACACACACACACACACACACACACACACTCACACTCACACGCACACGCACACGCACACGCACACGCACACGCACACACACACACACACACACACAGAAGCAACATTGATTATGATAGTACAAAAATATTTGCACTCCTAAACTGACATCTTGTTTCTCCCACATACACTCACAAGCAGCTGTCATTGGTGCATGATTGGTCTATATTACACACACACACACACAAATACATCAGCTTGAACTGGTACCATAACCAGTGACCGGTAAAAAGGCACATTTGCTCATCATCTGCACACACACGCACACACACTCCCAATTGCAGGATCAGACCACTCACCCTGACTGTTGGGTCCCCCATCGCCCTCTTCGCATTCAGTGAGGTTGTTGAGCATTTTGGAAGATCGAGCACAGATCCCCTGCTAATGCTAACACTGCTGCTGTGTCCACCAGCCTCTCACACACACACACACGGATGGAGGAGGAGAAGCCTAGTGGTTCTCTGCCTCTCTCCTCTCAAGAAAGCATGCAGTGCTGTGCTTCAGCAGACTGGAGTCCTCTCTTGCCGTTTGCTGCCTTGCGTATTGCCTCTCTCGCTCTCTCTCTCTAAGAGGAGGGGTTGGGGGACAGAGAGGCTGCAGGGACGTAAATGATGGAATGCTTAAGAGCACATTTTTTTTCTCTCAAACACTCACACTGCATGTCGTCTCTCTGCTTTTCTCTCCGCTATGCATCCACAGGCTGCCTGTGCCTCACCATTATAATGCAGTGATCAGGATTTGCCTTTGCTTACCTTTACCATGCTTTCTTTTCAATTTCTATGACACATCCATGTCAAACTATAATGGTCATATCAGAAATACTGTAAGTGAAATCAAAAAAGGTTGCATGTGGTCTACTAGCTTTAAATCTCAGGTGGTTGTTTCCCTTCGGAATTCACTACCCAAAAGATCTGTATTAAAATCGGCATTTTTACCATTTATATTTTTTTTTAGGAAAATGTGAGTAGTGTTTGTCTGTGCAAGGGTGTAATGGCTGGTTGCTAGGTCATTGCTAATGTGCAGAGTGGTTTTAAACATGTTGATATGTGGTTGCTAGGGTGTTTTGAGTGGTTGTAATGGTGTTGCTATACAGTTGATAGTCTTGGTTGCTAATTTGCAAGTCCACTGCAAGTCCAATTTGCAAGTCAAGTCAAGTCAAATTACCTTTATTTATATAGCACTTTTTACAATACAGATTGTTTCGAAGCAGCTTTACAGAGATAACAGGAAAATAATGTTGTAATAATATTGTTAAATATAAAATGAAACCTCCCCAACTAAGCAAGCCAAAAGCCAATGGCGACAAAGGCGAGGAACCAAAACTCCATCAGGTGACAGAATGGAGAGAAAAACATTGGGAAAACCCAGGCTCAGTCAGGGGGCCAGTTCTCCTCTGGCCAACGAACGAACAGTGTATGATTATGATTCAAGTCTGAAAACTACAGGTATTTCTATTGTTGCCCTTCCTTGCTGTAACACAGCTTGTTGCTAGCATTTGATTTGTTTTAGATGGTATTCTCTAGCAAGCAAATAAGCTAGAAAATAAATAAATACATTTAGTAACCAGCTACACCAGCTGGAAACCAACACTAACAAGTATAAAGCCTGTGTCACAGGTTGTGCTGTCTAAATGTACATGTACACGAAGATGAAGATAGTAGGCAGTCTTTTAATAAATCCACAGGTAAATCCAAATACGGAGAACAGCAACACAACCATTTACAATAGATGACAATGGACATTGCACTGAAACAGAACCAAACATATAAACAAGTAATAATGGTAGTGATTGACCATTATTATGGTTAATAATAATTAATAATAATTAATTATTAATAATAATTCAAGTAATAATGGTAGTGATTGATGAGTGAATGATTAAGGTAGATGATGACGAAACACAAACGTGAAAACAAAACAGTCCAAACAAACGTGATTGTGACAGCCTGGAAGTATAAGTCTGGTAACAATTTAAAAAAAAGGTTTCTAAACATTGGGTAGTGCTAACATGAAATAATTTAATTTAAAAAAAAAGTATTTCAATATAATTTTAAATATTTATAATATAATAAATTATTTAAAACATGTTGAGGTTTATGTTAATTTCCACATACACTAATCATATTAAAAAAAATAGTTGTATAAATTATGTTATTGTACAGTAATAGGAATGAGCATGAACTATTGTAACGGTTATGTTCTATGTCTGGACTCTTATGCTGTTTTTCTTTTGGTTCCCATGTTTCCTTCCTGTGTTTAGTTCCTGTTCCATTTGTTCCCATTGCAAGTTGGTTTGGTTACTGATTGGTTGCCTTCTTGATTGTCTTATTTTACCTTCGTCTTTGAAACTGCTGCAATTTAGATCCTCTGGTCCTCTTCCCTTGCCTGCACCGTGACAGAATACAGGACAACGCATGGATCTAGCAGCAGCCTTCATAGCCCTCGCCCGAGAACACCCGCCACAGCCTCAATGCCAATGCCAATGCCTATGCCTAGGACCCAGAGCCACAGCTCACTGCAGACCCAAAGCAAGCCAAGTCTGACCAGGTGTGTGAGCCAGTATGTTCATCCCTGAGGGAGTACTGGTGGAGTTGGACATCATGGAGCAGAGTTCCATTCATCCTCCTAGCCCTGAAATTAATTCCTAACCATGTAAACTCCTGGATTCCCTGATCCTACTGTTCATGCCCGCTGCTGGTCCCGCCCAGCCCCAAGTTTCCTCTGTTGCCGCTGGTCCTGCCCAGCCTCAAGTCTCCTTTGTCGCCGCCCAGCCTCCCACTCCCTCCCCCACTTTCAGATCCCATCCAGTTCCTTGACTCCACTGGCTCCCTTTAGCCCCTCGACTTCTCCTTTAATGGCCCCATCCAACTATTCGGATCTGCCTTGGGCTTCCCATTCTCCAGCTCCACATTGGTGTGAGGATCCCCTTGCTCCACCTCAGGCCTCCAAGTCCTGGACTCTACCTTGGCTCCACGCTTCATCGGCTCCACCATGGTTCATCATCTCTCAGGCTCTGCCGGGATCCCTCGTCCCTCCGGCTGGTCAGTCATCACCCTGGTTGCGCCACAGACTACCAGGCCTCCGGATACACCTTGTCACTCCAGCGGACTCCTCCTTCCCTCTGGTTCCACCGTTGTCCTCAATCCACTCTGCAAAGCCCCCGTCTGCGTGCAGATCCGCTGTGGCCCTCCAGTCTATTGGTGTCACCTTCTGTCTTTGTCTCCTCGGCTCTGCCTGGGTCTCCACCTCTCACGGCTTCACCTCTATCCGAAGTCCCCTTGGTTCCACCTGGACTCTGCGCCGAGGCTCAACCCTGGCTCTTTCCTCTCGCAGTGGGCCTTCATTTGGACACTGCTCTAGGTCGCTCCCTGGCTCCTCCTTCCATCATTTCCTCATTGGTCTCCTCTTTACCGGCTCCTTCAGGTCCCTGTCCACCACCAAAACCCCCGCCCTCCCTTCACTGTTCGACTTTCTGTTGGGCCTTCTGGAAGGGGGGGAGTACTGTAATGTTTATGTTCTATGTGTGGACTATTTTTTTTTCCTTTGATTCTCATGTTTCCTTCCTGTGTTTAGTTCTTGTTATTTTTTTTCCTATTGCTAGTTGGTTTCTAGGGTTACTTATTGGTTCATTGATTGTTCACCTGAGTCTTGTTTGCTTCCTCATTTAGCCATGTATTTAAGCCCTCAGTTTGGTTCTTCTCTTTGTCCTGTATTGTCTTTCCATGTGTAAAGCTGTTACTTGGATCTTTGCCTTCTGGATGTTGTTCATTGTTTTATTAAATAAACAAAAACTGATGCAATTTAGATCCTCTGCTCTACTTCCCTTGCCTGCACCGTGACAGCTATGAACAATAGTATATCAATAAATAATTTAAAAACTGGTTTAGGGTTTTATTTTCTGGTAAAACTTTACAAAAAAATCAATAGCTTACTTGAAATAATTAAATTATTTTAAAAATATTTTAAAAGGTACTTTAATTTAAAAGATTTATAATAAACACATAATTGTAATTTTAAATGATAAAATAAATCAAAAGTAATGCTTATGTTCAGTTCCACATAGACTAATACATTATAACATTTGTTTATTTAAAATTGTTTATTGTTCATTCAGGATACCTAATGAATTAACTAATGTTAATAAATGTAACTATGTGAACCAAGTGTTGCCTGTTTTCTTTGAAACTGGGTTTGATATTAAATCACATAGGGGCATCGATATTTCAACTCTGCCATTTCATGAGACACATGAATCAAACACCTCGACGTTCTCCCTTAATGTTTCTATATGTGATGAAATACTTATGAGGCATAAGCTATGTAAGGAATGATTGCCAAAGGCTTTTACAGGCGCTATGTCATGCTACAGGTTGTGGAATGGTTGTGAGATTAAGTGATGTAGAAATATTGCTTTCTGCTATCTTTTATACACACTTTTCTTCTGACCTCAGAGGTAAACTCCGCTGCATCTTCCTTTCTGAGAGCTTTCTATAAATACTGAGAATAAATTAAGGTATGGGAGACTTTAAAGGTTTTTATTTTCCCAAAGTGCAGGATGGTGAGAAAGGGCACACAGGAACGAGGAACACACAAATGGTTGGACACATAAATGATAGAATGCACTTACGGATCAGCTCAAAGTCAGAGAGGGGGAAAAGAGAGAACCATTTATGGATAAAAGCCACTGTGAGGCTGGAAAGGACAAAGTATGTATAGAAATATGGGGCTTTGGAACAGGCATTAAATGTTTATAAACATTTATAATATACCATATGTGCATGTACAGTAGAGTCCAAAGGTATAAAATCACATTGAATTTAAAATCTGATTTAAAGCTAGAAATAAAACGAACGTTTTAAACAAAGACACATGACTTAAAATATTAATAAATATCATATCTATCTGGATAACATGATTATCAGATTAAGCAGCTCAATGTCATTGAAGCAAAAGGGGGAATGTGTACTGAAATGTTCTTAAATTGTATGCATTACAAATTGATAAAAGTTCTACCAAATAAATCTGTTATGTAAATTGAATCAGAGAGACAGAGAGAATTAGAAAAAAAAATGGACCAATGAACCTTCTGCGGATATGTGGTACCAAGGTCCAGAGTGAAGAAAATGAGATACGGTTTTGAGAAGTATCAGAACATGCTGGCCTGGCTGTATTCATGTTGTGAATCTCCACTGAGACTGCCACTTTTTCTCCTAAAAGCATTTAAGTGCAGCATCTCTGCTATTTTTAGCATCAGTAGTCCCAGGGAACCAAAAATGTTTCTGAACTCTGAATATTTCTCTGTGATTAAAGAATCTGTTCTCATATCTGTCTACATTTTTGAAGTGTAAAGACTTCATGAAGAATTCATAAATTAAAGCACCTTCATTTTTTACTTCACCGTCAATAGTGTTTGCCAAAATACTTGTCAAAAAAGTATGTTTGTTTGCATGTTCATAGTCTGAAAAAGCTAAAAAAAAAAAGGTTAAATTTCTCTCTCTATAGTCCAAAATGTAGATTATATTCCACAGTCACTGCACCATTTTATCCAATTAGACATCATTA